ATGAAACACACAATTCTCATATATTGGGGAATAATTTCCCAATGTTGGGAAATAATTCCCAATGTTGGGGAATAGACAAAGCCTTCCAACAAACTCATTCTCCAATTAACTTTCTACCAAACTAAAATAATATTTATAACTCCACACCTCCAAATATTATTTAAGCTTTCATGGTAGTCCATCTGAACCATTACTATATAAATTTCCAACACAGTATACATAAACAAGGCAAAAATTATGCTAAACACAAATCATCTCTTCCAAGTAATATTCATTAAACACTAAAATAATAAGTAATCCATTACAATAATTATAAGCAGAATCTTTGACAATATATATAATCTTGCAACAACTGCCCAGACTGCAAAATATCGTTTCCTTTTACTTTCTTTCTCTACCTGAGTACCTGAGAATTCGTGACATCTGGTATCAGAGCTTCCGAGCCGATGACGAACACACAGAGAGACTTTGATGAAGCTGCAAGACAAATTGAAGAGATGCAAGAACATATGCAAGCTGTGCAAACGCAGATGATTGATAATCACCTTTTGAAAAAGTCATTTTGTATGTAATAGCTAAAAGTTAATTTACCAAACACTTTTCTACCTACAATAAGATAATGTTATCAACTAGTCGAACCCACTAACCTAATCAGCTAACAACCATTTACCAAACACTCACAATAAAATGAGACGGAAAAAATAGCATTATGAAATGATGATTCTATTTAGATTAAAGCTAAGTAATATTATAGAAACCCACGAGAAGTTTTCTAAACTTGCTAGCACAAGTATATATATATATATATATATATATATATATATATATATATATATATATATATATATATAACTATTGATTCCTGAAATCACATGGATATAGTAAAGGAAAGGTCGGATGATTATTCAGAATTGACGCCAGTGGAAAAACCTCTTAAACATCTCAAACTGCAAGATTATTCAGAATTGCAGCAATTGGACTCCTGACAACATATCTAGAAGACGACCATTTCAGATATCCTTGAACAACCGTTGCATTTGTGGGGGAAGCCGATGAACGGGAGAATGTCACTTGATATGATGCCTTTTGGTTTAGCTCTGAGAAGCTCAACGTGGAAGGCTCCACAGTAACACTAACGCCATCCGGTGGAAGAATTTCAACAGTGTAGGACGAACTTGCCTCGCCAACATTCGTCACGGTTCTAGTGTAGGTCTGTGATCCTGATGTTGATGTATTCACAAGGTTTATGGAAAAGGAAGGGTAGTTTAGCTCTGCTTCCTGGATGGATGTTGAACAGGTCACATTGCGTTGCAAAATGAGGCTAACTTGTTTGTCTGTGTACCCTAATCCGCACAAGTAAGGCACGTAGTCATCAGGTGCGACATCATAAACTAGCCCCGGATCGTTGGCTCTTGATGGATTAACCTGGCCAGCCCCAACTGTAAAGATGTCAGCCGGGAGGCGCCTTTCGTCTTCGATTTTGTTGTTCCCGAGGTTAGTAGTGTCGGAAGTGGTGATGATTGCTGACTTGATTGCAGCGGGGGACCAATCCGGGTGTGCACTCTTGAGTAGAGCTGCGACACCGGATAGGTGCGGGCACGACATTGAGGTACCTGAAATAATGTTGAAAGTTGGTTTCGAGTCGGTCCTGTTTTCCACTGAAAATGGCCAGGCCGCAATAATACTGACTCCTGGACCTACAATGTCCGGTTTCAGAATCCCCGGGCTGGAGACGCTCGGCCCCCGGGACGAAAAGAAGGAAACCGCCGGGGCGTGGGGATCACCGATTACAGTTCCCTTGAATAGGATTGTTGCGGTGGGGTTGGAGGTTGAGTTTAGGTAAGATTTCACCTTTTCTCCATCGGCAAAGCTAAGGTGGGTGGCGGGGAGGGCATGAGGTATTGCAAATGTGGTGTAACCCATGAAGTCCTGGTTCACAAGAATCATGGCGGCGCCGCCGGCTTCCTTCACAACCGTTCCTTTTAGAATCACCGGCACCGAACCCACATCGCACACCACAACTTTTCCTTTCACATCATAACCGTCGAGTGAAGAATTGCCGCAATATTTTGCACTAAAATCACTGGCGTTCATCCCAGGATAGACAAGTGGAAGCAAATCCTGGGAAAATTCACGCTGATAAGCTGATTGCCCATCTACTTCTTCCCCGTTTCCAAGACGTGCCGTCGCCACCACGTTTCTATCAACCGTGGCGGCTCCCACGGTGAGAATCCACGGCGCTACGTTCGACAATGTGAAAGCCTCCGGGCCGGAATTCCCAGCTGAGCAGCTAACAAAAATTCCCTTCTCCATAGCTCTATATGCGCCAAGGGCTATATTATCATCATAGAAAGGCTCCGTTGGTCCTCCACCTAGGGAAATGGAAAGAATGTCCACACCATCTTCAATTGCCGCGTCCATACCTGCCAGGGTGGAGCTAGAAATTTCATTTTATGGGGTGAAAGATTAAAACAAATGAGATATTTAGAAAAAAAAATCAATTAATAAGTATAAAGATTTGACCTCTTAACTTCTACTATAACACATACTTTATCATCTAAGCACTTCATTTGAGTAATATAGACATTTACTATATATATATATATATATATATATATATATATATATATATATAAGGGTCCCATATATATAAAGGGTGAGATGGGTGGGGGAGGAGGAGGGCAAATTAGTGTATGAATCATGGCCTCTGTGGATCATAACAAAAAATACATTTTTAATATAATAAAAGTATATTATTTGTGTACTGAATGTACATCATACAATAATGTACTTTCAACAATCAAATAATATATTTTTCTCTAAAAAAAAAAAAAAAGAGAAAGTATATTATTTGAGTGTCGAAAGTACATTAAAAATGTGCGCTGTATTCAGAGAAAGTATTTTTTTATCATTAAAAAAATATATTTTCTCTGAATACAATATACATTTTTAATGTACTTAAAGTATATACTGAATGTAGAGTATTTAATAGTATGGTTCACATAATAATGTAATTGCCCCTATTGCCACCCATATTGGCTCCGCCCAAGCATACCTGCCAAAATGTCAATTTCCGAACACCCACCGTTGGCACCACAGACCTTATACATAGCCAAATGCGCCCGCGGCGCGATTCCAGTGGCGGTGCCATTATCGCTTCCATAGACATTAGCGCCGTCTACAAAGCTCCCAGCCGCCGTGCTGGACGTGTGTGTGCCGTGTCCATTAACGTTATCAAACGAAGTAGATTGGTTTCCGCTCAAAAACCCCTTTCCTCCGATGAGCTTGTTGTTACACGCAAAACTGTCACAGTTCCCCTTCCACTTACCCGGCGGAGGGGGCATCCCGTCGTCGTGAAACGACGGGTGGTCGGGGAAAATCCCGCCGTCCAGCAACCCAATGATCACGCCTTCGCCATAGTTGGAGCTCTCCCAGAAGCCTGAATTCAAGTGCAGCCCCAAGAAATTTGGAGTGTGGGTTGTGTGCAGGTTATACACTCTCGGGGGCCGTGCAGACACGAAGCCTTCCTTCTTCTCCATGGCTTTCACTTCATCAAGGGATAATTTAGCAGCAAAGCCGCTAATAACATGCTGATAAGAGTAGATTATGTTGGAGGAATAATCAGTTGATGTTTCCAATCCCGAACTTATAAACGACTGATAATGTGAATCTCTTGAAGCCAGGCCATCAGGTAACTCAACATGAACAATGTAAATCTCCGACTCAACTGCGAAAATGGTAGAAAAATGAAGAAATACAATGCAGAGAATGGTTAGAATAAGGTTGAAGTTAGCCATTTTTGCTATAGATAGAGCTTAATTAGCTTGTCCCCTTCTTGATAAACTCTTATCTATATTTATAGATTTAATTTACTTGAAGTTATCGATGGAAAATGGAATTGCTCGGGAGATATAAGTATATAACTTCGTTGGTTTCACAGATTACATGTATTTGTATTTTCCACCGTCGTTTTCCTAGGAAACACACTGCTCAGACGACTCATTCGAGATTGCTAATATGGAATACAATAATGTTGAAAGCCTGCAGGAGGATTGTTTTAAAATATTTTATTTAGTGATAAACTAGGATTAAGATCTAGCTAAAACTAATTTAATGTTAGGATCAAGTGTTACGCTAAAAGGTATAGCTTGCAACAAAAAGTAACTTTAATCATATTTTTTTAGAGACAAGGTGCTGGATTTTACCATTTTTGGAGACAAGGTGCTGCTCAACAATTCTTCTAGCTACCTGATGGATACCCCTAGTTAGGTGTGCCCTGGTCAGGAGATTGCGTAACGATTACTTAAAAGGATTGGGAGGGCCTTGGCAACCTAGCTCTGACCTACTACCTCTTTAGCTCGTCAGTCGACTCTGTCAAGCGACCAGACAATGTAGGCGGATGAGTCCCGACCGTGTGTCGTGCTTAGGGACGGTGAATGGAAATTCGGTGGAGATTCTTTCCCAGCTTTGGCGCGGGAATTTTCTTTTTCAATATTAGGAAGTTTATCCATTCAATTTTATTAATCTCTTCTTCTTTTCATTTTTGAAGGTTCATATTTTTGTATAAATTAAATACTCATGGGTCACATTGTAAGGGTTCTGATTTCAATACAAGCATTATTACTCTGTCAAATTTTTCTTTCGCTTTTACTTAGTAAGTTTTACGGTAGTGTTGGCTTGCTGTCCGGCTACCCTAAGCCGTAAAACAACACCACCAATTGCTGGATTTGACCATTCACCGACCTTCACCCAACAATTCTATCAAACAATTCGACAGGCCATTCACCCGCCTTCGCCCAACAATATCCTAGCCACCAATGGCAGAACTTGAGCCTTTCCAACAATTTCATTGGTCTCAACCCAACAATTTTCTTAGCCACCAATTGCTGGACTTGGCTATTCACGGACTTCCGCCCAACAAGTAAAATGTTTTAATAAAGTTAATTATTGAAAGCTAAGTTGAAGATTATGTTAAAAGTGAAAATGTAATTGACCAAAAGTTGAAAAGCAATTATTTCACTTTTATAAATCAAGTATAATTCTATTTTTTTTTTTTCTTTTTTACAAAATTTTCTCATTTCCCTTTGTATTTTGTACATTAAATTCCATCAAACTCAAAAGCAAATAAGAAACATTTGCATTGTCAACACAATTCTTGGTGGTTTTATGCTAATCAAACACAAAAACAGCAAGTAGAAAAATTGAGAGCAGAGCATGAAGATCTAATTAAGGCTGTCGTCCCAGCACAAAACCATGATATATATAACTTCTTCTTCTTCTGCAGCGGCCATGCATGGAAGCTAAGCTCAACTACAGTCAATGGAAATGCAGTTCTGAGCCAAGGTTGAAGGGTCATTCTTGGCAACAAACGGATTGATCTTGACCCAGATGAGCGAGAAAACCGACGCCAACAGCACCGACCAAAGCACAACAATGGTGGGGGTGCGATTCTGGCGACCCATGAGACCTTTCAAGAATGGGTAGAGATGGAAGATGACCCATAACGAGAAGAAAACTTTGCCGAACAATGGCCCCCAGGACTCGTAGCCGCTGTTGAGGGCGTCGGAGAAGCCGGCGATAACTCCGACCAAGTTGACGATGAGAATGGTGGTCGGAGGGATTAGGACTGTGGTCCACTTGAAGAGGTAGAGCTCCCCGAACTCTCCGTCGTCTGCCGCTTTCGCCGTGACGGTGAAGTTGGTGTCTATCCCCGCAATCATTTTGAGGATTCCTTGGAAGACGGCGAAGAGATGAGCTGAAACGCCGCCGATCACCCAAAACTGCTCGTTACGCCACCAGTCCTCTATGCTCACGCCGCTCCACCGCAACTCCAGTACTCCTGTCACGATGATGGCCATAAACAGCCCAAGAAACAGAGCACTTGCAAGGTTCGATAGCTGGGAAAAGATGAGAATTAGTTTGAAGAGTGATGAGTTTACTACTGAAAATTATGAAATTTTCGACCACCCATCTAAAATCAAGTTGAAAGCAAAAAGTGGTCGGAAATAGCAATAAAAGTTTTTGGTCGGAAATTTCATAAGTTGATGAATTATGGATATAAATGATGATATTTACGTACCGTTGGGATGATGAATTTTCCGGTGAGGAGGCAAATGGCAGGCAAAGAGCAGTATGCAACGAGGGGAATGGAGGTGAAAGGGTAGACAATGGTGTTGATATAGGCGAGCCTTTGAAGCCATTTAAGGCGGCCGCCGCCAAATCCATACCAGAGAGGACAATGTCTGCTGAAGAAAATCTCGACAGATCCTAGAGCCCATCGAAGAACCTGGTGCAACCTGTCGGACAAGTTGATTGGTGCTGATCCCTTGAATGCAGGCCTTACTGGCATGCAGTAAATTGATCTCCATCCCCGGCAATGCATCTTGAACCCCGACAAGATATCCTCAGTCACTGATCCATATATCCACCCAATCTAAACCAAAACATCTTAGATTAGTTTAGTCCATAATAAACTCATTCATTTAATTTCTGTCAACAAGATATATAAGAATTCTGTCTGTTCAACCCCATTCAAGTTGGTTTGTGCTGACTCAATAATAACTATAAGGAAGTTCGATTCCTAATATGAGCGGTCTAATAACTTTTTGGTTTGAGTTGGTCAGCTATTGGTAACCAATATTGTAAAAATCTGGTTAGGCAACCAACTAGACGCTAGGTGTCCCTAGGCTGAGGCGATTTCAGCCCTAGGCGGCTTTTAGTCGGCTAACCGACTAATTGGCCGACTAGGCGTCGACTCGGCCGAGTCGGTGCCCAACTCGGCCGAGTGGTTTTCTTTTGCCTGCTCGGCTACTCATCTTTTATATTTCTTCAGCCATGTACTCAACTAACCATCTTACATATGCAGTTAACTAGCTAGTTCATGGTGATTATAACAGTCTAACAACTCCTAGCCCTAAGTGGGAAAAATGAAGATGATATACTCGAATTACTTGGCCGCCTAGGTGGCGCCTAGCGCCTTCTGTAACATTTTTGGTAACTAATTAGGCTAGTTTATCTCCTTGTGGTTATTCAATTTGCTAATTAGGATCAATCGGTCAGCTATGAACAACCTAACTTGGTTTTCTTTGCTGACTAGGGTCACAAAATTATCCTGTGCACACCTAGGTAGTGACACTAGCTAGGTTTTCATTGTCACAAAAAAAAAAAAAAAAAAAAAAAAAAAAAGATAAGAATTCTGACCTCTTTACCCCATGCAGTCTTTTCTTCATATCCACAGCTGATGACATGAATTGCTTCGTTGATGAGTGTAGAAGGATCTGCAGAATCAGGCACTCCCCCATTCTCCATTAATGTGGACTCAATGAAGACGGAAGATATGCCGAAGGTTTTCTCAAAGCTCATCTGAGAGATGAGTAATGACCTCTCATACTCATCATAACCTGGAGATATATGCAAGTTTAATAACCAACAATTCTGATATATATACTGTTTAGCATATAATATAAAAACATAAATGTGCAGTCCAACTATCAGCTTAGACTTTTAGTCGAGAGGAAGTAATTAGTGCAGTTGGCCTTACTCTCAATTTCCTTTAGATTAAAGATGGCAGCATTGAGATCTTCCCTCTTGGCATCGCGGTAAAGCTCTGAGGGATCCTTCTCTTTCGCTGGCTTCTTGCCTCGGCAGCAGCAGCAGCAGCTTCCAAACGAACAAGACGATGAAGATTTGGATAATCTGGGCATGTTTGGAGGGCTATAACCATAAAGCGCTTGTCTGTTGAAAACACATCCAGTTCCCACATAAACCGGTCCTTGGATGCCATCCAATCCTTTCATGTTAACCTGAACAGAACTTGTTGCATTTGTAGTAATGGTGAAAGGCTAAGACTGTGGAGCTAGCTACTTTAGATGTGGTAATACTTACATCGAAGAACACGACATTCCTGTTGGCATATCTGTCGCTCTTGTCGATGCCATCAAATCTCTGAGGGAACTGCACATAGCATACATCTCGCCCGACTTGTGGATCCATCAGGAAACACATTGCTTCCCGGATGGCCTTGCTGTTGTTAACGTAGTGATCACAATCAAGATTGAGAATGTAGGGTGCATTTGTAAGAATTGCAGATACCCTCACCTGCAAAAAACATATGAGTTTATAAAGCCATGAGTTAGACTATCTGATTGATTGGATTCAGTTTTTAGCGTGGTTTGGCCCATGTGCATTATAGCCCAGTTGAGTTTGAGAAGTCAGTAATTTGTGCAAGTTTTACCAGAGCATTTTCTGCACCAGCCTTTTTGTGGTGTTGATATCCTGGCCTCTTCTCTCTGGATACATAAACCAGCCTAGGGAGTTCATTTCCATCTATGTCATGGGCACCAGTGTTTCCTAAGAAAACCTGAAATTGGGACACCAGGCGTTTAGTTCATTTCTCTGTTTTTATTTTCGGGGTTTTCTCATTTTTCTTTTTTCGCTGAGAAAACAGAAAACGTGTTTAATAAGCAAAATTAACCTGAATCATGCCAGGGTGGTCCCTTGTATTATTTCCTGGCCATGATGTTCCATCTGCCATGGTCCAACCATCTTCTGGTGTTTTTTGAGCCTTGGCAACTAAAGCATTTATCCTCACTTTATACTCTTCATATTCTCTCTGCAAATCCCAGAGTGCAGTGAATAAATAACAAGATTCCAAGTTTTGAAATGTCTTTGCTGGGCGGAGGCCAGTAAAGGGCCAAGTCCAGCAATTGGTGGCTAGAAGATTGTTGGGCGGAGGCTCGGGGCAAGTCTAGCACCCTGTCGGCCTCTCGAAAATGTGGCGGTATAAGAAAATAAAGTTGTGTATTCGCTAATCTAACAAGAGGTACCAGAGCCAGGTCAAGTTTGAGTCCCAGCAACATTAAAGTCTTGATGAATATTGAAGTGTAGTATTACCTTAATTGCTCTTCTTTCCTTGACAAAAGAAGGCTGCACTTTGTCCTTTAGGTAATCAATCTTCTGGGAGAAGTAGAACTCGGGTGCCCGTGGCTCAATCGCAAACTTTTTACAGAACGGCACCCATTTCCTTGCGAATTCAGCAGTTTCGGCCAGAGACTCGAATGTCAGCATGGCAGCACCATCATCAGAGACGTAGCACGAGACCTTTTCGACAGGATAATCGACAGCAAGAATTGACAGAACAGTGTTGGCAGTGATCAGAGGCGGTTCTTTCATGGGATCCACCGTACTGACAAAGAAATCCACAGGAGCCAGCGCGTTGGGCTCGCCCTCTCTCTCGAACCTGGCACATATACAGCACAGATGAAAAGTCATTTTTTCACTTCGAAACATGGAATTTAAGTTTGGTGCGGGCATACCAAGCAGAGAGCCTGTCAACGTATGTCTCGCGGTTGATGGGAGCCCATTTAGGGAACTGATCCAACACCCAAGAAAACGCGAACCAGATCTCGCAGATGACAGAAGTAAGCCACAGAGGATAAGCACTGTCAACTGGATTTGTGACTCTATAGTGGATGAAGAGGGAAAGGATTACGAGGCGCATAATGATGATAGTTCTGTATGGCCCGATTTGGGACTTTGGAATTGGAATCACTGATGAAAGTGTCTCTGCAGAATCTGCAGACCTGCACAAGCTCTCATATTACATGCCATTACAGATATATGCATAGTTGAAATTCTGAGATTTATCAGCTTTTCTTATACTTACTGTGGCTTTTCTTCCATCTGCTGCTCTGCTGGGATTTCTTCTTCTTTTGCAGCCTTCTTTTCTGGCTTTTTCTTCTTGTTTTTCTTCTCTTTCCAGCTCTCCACTCTGTTCTTCCATATCGGGTTCCCCGATTCACCATTGTATTCTAAATGAGGGTAACAACAAGATCATATCAGATCACTTTTTTTCAGTGGGTGACAAGGAAAACCCGCAGCCACTACTCGAGGATTGATAAATCCTACTTTGTGGCCTTAACCAGCAAAGGACTACAAAGAAGTAAATCAGCCAGGTTGGCCTTATCAGCCTAGCCGCCTAGAGGCCAGCAAAGGACTACAAAGAAGTAAATCAGCCAGATTGGCCTTATCTGCCTAGCCGCCTAGATGCTGAACGGCTCAAACCAAGAAAGTCAATAGGCCGTTCCCGTTAAGAGTTGAACTTATAACCTTGTGGTTACCAAGACAACAGTCTGACCAAATTGGCTGGGTTACTCCGATCAGATCCCTTTTCTTAAACAAATGATAAAGACTTAGAACCTTTAAAAATGAAAATAGAAAAGAATACTCACCACTGTCCATAGTAGAAACACTGCTAATGTTTCTAGCATGAAGTCCAAGATCCTGCACCAGTTCACAGTTTTTAACCATTAAAACTTCTCACCAATCAGAATATTATATTGTGTTTGTTCTATGCAGGGGGAGAAATATATATAGAGGTTGTTATATTCATACTTGACTGTTATTGAGCTGAGCAGCCATGGTAGTATGGTTGCCTGATTCCTCTCTTTCTCCATCCGCCATTGCAGAGTTCTCTGCAACAGTATAACAAGTTCAGGTCTCTCAAAATTCACAGACATTCATGAAACTCGAATCCAACCAATTAGCTAGTCTAACTCACGTACCATCATAAGGAGTGCCACAACGCATGCAGGCGTTGCGGCCTTCCTTCAGCTCATACTCCACGCAAGACTTGCAGAGAGGGTAGTTGCAGTCATGGCAAGCCACAAAGACTTCACCATTTGATGCCAATCCGATCTGCTCACCGCAAACCGAGCACGAAGGAACCCCAGACTGCATCATCTTGTTGATGGCTTCCCTTGCTGCCCTCTCAAAGTTTGCATGAATATAAAGATGGGGTGGTGGTTGGAGGGGAGTGGGGTGGGGGTGGGGGGGGGGGGGGTTTGGTGTGATGGCATTTTTCAGAGGGGAAGCAATGTCATTTTCTTTATCAAAGAAAACTATGGGAATTTTGCTGCAACTTAAAGCAAGGATGTGGTTGGGCTCATACATATCTCTCAACCAACTAATGTTGGTGAAGTTGCTTGGACTAGAAAATCTGGACCGTCTGATTCAAGCATCATAACAATTTTTCTTTTAGTATTTTTAGTATAATCCATGGTTTTTTTGAAAATTTGTATGCTGTCGTAGAGTATTATGGCAGTAAAGTCTATGTAAAGGTATGGGGTCAGTTTCAGTCTCAAATGCAACAAGATTTTGTTATTATTACTTATTGCCACATTTTTAATACCTTACTGGTTTCATGGTTTGCATTAGTTTTGAGACCGAGCACGGGGCTCGGCCTAGGCAGCCTGGGGTTGGGCCATGGGCTTGGTTTTGGCAGCCGAGGCCGAACACGAGACTCGACCTCGGGGCCTCAGATCCAGCCAGACCCGTCTTGCTCCATTCCACCGGATCGGTTTGTTCCGGATTCCTTTTACTTGAATCACAAGTCATCTACTGACCAAGTTCCCTTAAACATCACAATTCCAAATATATAAACGCAATTATTCAATATAATTAACAAACCAAAAGTCCAAAATATTACAAATATTTAAAGATTCTTGTGGTTCAATTGTTCTTTCCCAACTAAGAAATTATCTAAAACAGTAATATAAATGCTCTATTTTGACCCCAAAACCAACCAAACAACTCTCACATCTCATCCATTCCACCATTAACATAAAAAAGGGAGAAACAGAGAAGATTGCAGGCCCGTTGGAGCCTAAAGTTGGAAGATTGTGGGCCAGAATCTGACCACTCGATATAGCAGTGGATGAAACTCATGAAAGTCGTCAACAAAGTATATAACACTGATGTTTGAGGAAGAACAGACTCTCGATGTCCTCGGACTTGATTCAGAAATGTGGGGACACGATGAACAAGAACCTAAATGATATACTTGTTCACGCAATAGTATAAACCTTAACTACTTTTGATGTATCGCAGACAACTAGGTTATCAGAATCGGTAGGGGTGGTGCAGAGCCAATTGACCTGATCATTCCAACGAGTCGGTCATAAGAAGCCAATATATGATAGAAGGAACATAAATGCATTATATAAAGGAGAACTCACCTTTCTTCTTAGATTTAATTTGGAACGTAAAACATCTGTACTGGTGCTTATTCCATCGGTAACAACAGGTCTTGACCAATCCCAAACGCACACTTGTTTGTCATTTCCGCCAGAAATTATGAACTTCCCCTTCTCCCCGAATGATGAAAATGATCTAATATAGAAATAAGAATATCAGTGCTGGCGGGGTATCCCCAGTCAAGATGGCTAAGGATACAAACTTGTGACCACAAGGTCACGAGTTCGAAACTCAACCTTCTTGGTTTGAGCCCGTCAGCTATGGGCAAACTACGCTGGTTTACCTCCTTGTAGTCCTTTGCCGGCTAGGGTCACAAGGCAGGATTTACCCAGTGCACACCCTCGGATAGTGGCTGTGGGTTTCCCTCCGTCACCCCAAAAAAGAATATCAGTGCTGACACAAGGTCACGAGTTCGAAACTCAACCTTCTTGGTTTGAGCTGGTCAGCTATGGGCAAACTAAGCTGGTTTATCTCCTTGTGGTCCTTTGCCGGCTATGGTCACAAGGTGGGATTTACCCAGTGCACGCCCTCGGGTACTGGCTGTGGGTTTCCCTCTGTCACCCCAAAAAAGAATATCAGTGCTGACACAAGGTCACGAGTTCGAAACTCAACCTTCTTGGTTTGAGCTGGTCAGCTATGGCCTATGGGCAAACTAAGCTGGTTTATCTCCTTGTGGTCCTTTGCCGGCTAGGGTCACAAGGCGGGATTTACCCAGTGCACACCCTCGGGTAGTGACTATGGGTTTCCCTGTCACCCCTAAAAAGAATATCAGTACTGACTCGCGACCCCAAAGGTCAAGCAAGGAACAAAGAAAACTTACACACAGGACACTGAAGCATTGTGCCCTCCCAAAGCGTGATCCAGTCGCAAGCTTCCGCCATTTTGAATGTCAAGTCCAGAACCAGTGGATGAATCAGTGGCTTTAGACGCTTGAGAACCTTTCTTGGCTTTAGTTGAACTTTTTGATTTACAAGAATTCAACTCCGATTCAATATTTATGATATCAACAACACCATCGCCCCTGGCAACAACACAAACCTTCCCAAGTTTATCTACCATATCAACTTCAGGAAGTGCCAAGGCATGGACAAAAGCAGGGTTCAAACACTGCCCGTTGCTATCTTTATTTCTCACATCGGACATGCCTATGGCAAGATGAATGGTGTTCAATCAGCTTAACATAAATAATCATCACCCAAAGACTTAAATTGCAAGATGTCAGAATAATACTACTAGGTGGGGGTGGGGGGGGGGGGTGTGGTAAGAACAGCATAGTGGAAGGCTCATACCGAAGTCCACAATCTTCTTAGGCCGTCCCTTTGAGAAGTCCCACACCACAAGCTTAGAATCAAGGCCACCAGTAATCACTGCAGTGCAAGAACGGAACACCAAAACATTGAAAACATCAGTTGATGCAAAATGGATAACATAGCTAAATCTTAAGCTATTGCTCAAAGTAAAACAATAACTAGCACTTTCCACATTGAATTGGAGAAAAATACCCAAAAGCTCAATATTTCTTCTTTCCCAGGCATATTTTGGATATCTGACTAAATTGTATAACTACTTGTCCGTTTGTGATTATATGTAGAACTTCAGTAGATATAGTGTGGAGAACAATATTCCCATCATTGACCTTGAATCTCCAGAGGGGAAATTTTTAACTACATCCACTCGTAAATTTCACTTAAAAATAGTGATACTGATACCAATAGATGGTTTTATAGCAAAAAAAAAAATAGTCTTTTAATCTCAATATGGAAATTTTTGAAACCACATGTTGTAGCAGACATCCACAAAGAAGATAAGCAAGATGTCAAGCACTTTTCTTTATAAACTTTCAGCTTATATTGTACTATTCCGAGGACTCAACATAAAGAACACAAGATTTTTAAAATTTTTATTTTTGTTAAGTATAAAGGAGATTATCTGTTCTTAGCCCAAGAGAATCAGTTTCGCTGTATAACTTGTTCTTATTTCTCATTTAAATAAATAAATATAATATTGTTTTTATTTCGAATTTGACCATGCGTTTGGATACACACGTAGATATTTGATGGACAGAAAATTTTATTTAAAAAGTACCTTCCCAAGGTCTCCAAGGAACAAATTGAACACTGCTACAGATCTAATAAGATAGTGAAGGATATCAAAAATGAAAATCTCTTACAGAATAGGCAGGAGGAAACAAATTTAAAAGAAATATCAGTCATAAATGAGATACATTATCATGATATTGTAATTAATATTTAGAGCTCGGATGCAAAACCTTTGCACACTTGTAAAGTCGTAAGTGAAAACCAAAAACTACTGTTGTATAACTATATAAGGCCAATACAATAACAATAAATAAATAAAACTAAAACAAAATTTAATAGAAAGGCTCCCATATAAAGAATAACCTCAATCTCATGCAACATTTTCATTGTAGCAAAAGGATACACTTGTATGGCCAGCTCTCAGAGTTCTATAAAGGCATTGTTGACGGATGTCAATAACCTGCAGTGGAGAGACAGTCATAATATGGTTCAACAACTCAAAGTGATTGACTAGGCCCTGTTTGGTAACATAGTTAGCTTATCAGCCAATTTTGGCTTATTTGACCACTATTAGTTGTTTGACTTGGTTAAACAATCAATATGAGTGGTTGATTAATTAGCTTTTTGTAACAACTTATCGCTCCAAAATGCTAAAATTCAAAAAGCTGCTCAAAGTAGCTTTTTCGATCAGCTTTTTGAGAAAGTCATTTTACATGTAATCAGCAATGAGCTAGAGATTTAAATTTTGATATTATCAATGTATGTAGAGATTTAAACCTCACCTTCTAATTATCTTTTTTTTTTCATTATTTTCAATTATAAACAACAACATACCAAGCTAGACATATTTTCACCAAAACGTTATTTTGTAAATCAAAAACATAACACTATAGTAATGCTGCAGTTGGCTATCATACCTTAACGTCACCACTATCATCTGCAGCGGCAAGGAAAGATGAATTTGAAGTGCAAACAATCTGCAAAAAAAAAAAAAAACAAAAAAAACAAAAAACAAAAAACAAAAAAAAAAAAATCCAAAACAAAAAAAATACAAAAACAAAAACAAAACAAAACATTAATGATAAAGCACATGCAAAATAGTATTGAATGAATTTCACAGCATACATATATTGTGTGTTTGTAGATTTTCCTATATACGGTTATACACTGCTCACTGCTGTTCAAAATTCAGAATGCATTGAATTACACACACACATAAACAGAGTTTAACATAAATGTGACTGTGTTTATGTTCAGAGTGTTTTCCTAAATCCTATATACTCTACCACTCAAAATTCAATATACTGTTATATATGGAAGTTCAAACACAGCCCACAATTGCCAGAGAGCCTTTTAATTGATCCTTACGGTTCTGTTTTACTATTGATTTTTTTTAGTAATTAAATATTTCTGGGTATTATCTATACTTGTGAGAATTCCCTGAGATATGGCAATTTTAGTTACTTTAATTATTATGCCACAACAATTATACTTCTTTAGATTCAAACGTAAAAATGCATAGGCCAAAGGAAGTGTTAAAAATTAAAATCCGTGGGTATCATAACCCACTTAACAATAACAGCTGCCTAGAGATGGCACTAAAAACTGTGTCAAGAACCAAATGGCAGGCTACCTGATTTATCTCATCCTTGTTGTAATTGTAGCTCTCTAACGGTTTAGATGCCTTGCCCTTCGATGAATATAGAGAAAATGAATATAGAGTTAAACAATGCACTCTTCTTTAGTACAAAGCAGCCCAAATACTTAATCATATGGATTTATTTCTGCAATAACTAATTGGAGATGTACCAAATTCACTTCAAAAGACTTGACTTCATTTCCTGAGGATACATAAATTATATCTTCATTGCCTGCACCAAGATAGAACCATTAAGATTTGAAAATAAGTCCACCAAAAATGAACACCAATGCAATAGGAAATTCGCAGAGTGCACACTTCAAGAAAATGAATAATATAGTCTACAAAAGAACACATACCTTTAAACTACCAATAGATTTTTTTCTTAAATTTTCATACAGAGAATTATAGCTAACTTGAACCATTGATTAATGATGCAACAAAAAAATGTGTTAGCATAGTTAAAGAGTGTTCTTAAATTGATATTAGGGTGGTCACTTAAACTCAAGTAAGGAATCTTTTAAGCATTAGGAATTTACATGATTACTTTACTTTCAAAGTAGTTTATGGAATCCTAGAGAGGGAAGGATTTTAGTTTCCCTATCATGGGCACCCCAATTTAGTATCAAACTCCTCAATCTTGTAATTCTTAGTATAACTTAATATATTGGAATACATATGATTTATTTTCTCGAATTCTTTGTTCATTATCCAGTTGCTTCTGCCTTTACAGAAGGTTGTCACTCCTTGCCACTCACTGGACTAACATTTCATAATTTCTACCACCCACTAGGCCACCATTTCAAAATTCCCAGAAAAATAGGAAAGAAATGGGAAAGATGCAAGAACGAACTATAAAATAGAAAATTAAAAAAATAATAATAATAACCTGGCTTAAAACAGATTGAAGAAATGGGATCATCATTGCCAACATCCATCTTAAAAGCCATATCCTTGCACCGCATATCAAACCAGCAAACATTGCCATCCTATGGTTGAATTGAAGTCAATTAAACCGCGGGTGGTCACAATAATGACTTAAAAGATTAGAAGCAAGAAGCTAAAACGTAAAGGCGAGCCCTTTAAGAACTAAGGGCATTACCCAAATTTCCAGAAAGTATGCAACTAGAGATACTGATAAAATACGAAAAAGAGAAGGGAAAAGAATGGAAGGGCAGAGAAGGGGGTTACCTCAGCTGCAGTAGCAATGAGGCCAGGGCGGGTCCGGGAAGCGATACAATAGGTGGCGTCCGCTTTATGACCCCTCAGTCGTCTTGGTTCCGCCATGGCAGCCGCCACTCAGTCCTTGCGAGTTTTCTTCCGTTAACCTTTCGTTACCCCCCTCTCCTTATTGATTTTACCGAGTACACCCTCCGTCCCAAACTAATTGCATGATACCACCTATGATAATTTAGAATTTAATTTTTTGTTAGTAAATAAAACTGCTAATAACTATAACTAGTATGTAACTCGTGTGATGGATCATGCATCATGTACGGACAAAATGTCGTAAATATATAAGTTATATTGTTATGGTAAAATCCTATATATAATAAAGTCATATGGGTCTTGTGAAAATTAAATGGTGATAATCAACATTTAATTTTCACAAGACCATAATAATATTGTTATTGTAAAAATTAAATATTGATAATCAACATTTAATTTTCACAAAACCATAATAATATTGTTAATTATAATAACAATAATAATAATAATTGCAATAATAATTATAATGATAATAATTTACACGGACAGTTTCTATCTATTATATATATATATATATATATATATATATATATATATATATATATATATATATATATATATATATATATATATTTTGACGGTAATAATGTTACCGGTAATAATAATATTATAATAACGTTATGTGAGAGAGTAACAATAGTGGTATTGCCCTTTTGTCTCAGTATGGAAAATACCGTCCCCTGCTCAGCTGAGGGAAGTTCTATTTATGCTAGGTCCTAACGGTAACAACATGAAGAGACATCCTTGGAGAGCTGAGCTAACGGCAAGAATATGAAGAGTCATGAATGAGGCGTTGAGGCTTTAACTCTCTCTCATCAAATGGTGGCATCAAAGGCGGCTTCAATGACAATAAAGGTGACACCTGTTGGATTCTAACCTTTGGAGTTCTGCCCGTTGGGTTCCCATGTGATGCTGAGTCAGATGCTCATTTGTGATCCGGGTCGGGTGCCAGCCCAATTATCCTGTCACCAGTCCCCCCTACTCCTGAGTCAACGGATGTGTTTGAGTTGACTTGGGAGTAAGGCTGAATCTATCTTGATCCTATGTATGTGATTATATATATATATATATATATATATATATATATATATATATATATATATATATATATATATATATATATATATATTTTTTTTTTTTTTTAAATCACATATGATTTTATTTCTTATGCTAGCCGAGATAGGCTTTGGCCTAGGTTGGCAGAGGTGCGTGCCTCGTGGCCGAGGCGTCGCCTCGACTGATCATGGCCGAGGCGTCGCCTCGACTAACCGTGGCCGAGGCGTCGCCTCGACCGACCGTGGCCGAGGCGTCGCCTCGACCGACCGTGGCCGAGGCGTGCGCCTCGACCGATCGTGGCCGAGGCGTCGCCTCGACCGATCGTGGCCGAGGCGTCGCCTCGACCGATCGTGGCCGAGGCGTCGCCTCGACCGATCATGGCCGAGGCGTGCGCTTCGGCTGATCGCGGCCGAGGCTGGTTGGGGCAGGCTCCGGCCTATTTTTATTATATTTTTTATTTATTTATTTTTAATTTTTTATTTTTTTGCCGAGGCGTGTGCCTCGGCCAAACTGTGGCCGAGGCGTGCCTCGGTCAGACTGTGGCCGAGGCGGGTGCCTCGGCCGAACACGCCTCGGCCATCCGAGTTGAGTCACGTCTCGGCCAACCTGTGGCCGGGGCGTGCGACTCGTTCCTTTTTTTTTTTTGAAACAACATGGGCGGACCACAAGCACGAGATATTATTCCAAAAGATTTCAGAATGCAAAGCGGGCGGACCGCGATTACCAAACACTAGTCCCAAACGACTACTAGGATACTAAGGAAAATACTTAATCAAATGTTCCTAGCTCCATACCCGATCGATTATCCTTACATATGGTATGGACTTATGGATCATTTCTGCCAATCTGTTTGCATGCTTTAACGTAACAACTGCGGGCCGCTCGCTGGTCTCCTCTGACTACCCCTATCCCGCTCGGAGTGGGGAACTTCATACATAAGTGTTCCACCGACACTATGGCCTTGAGGTTCTCCAGTGCCGGTCTCCCCAATATGATGTTGTGCGCACAAGTGAGTCTTACCACGCTGAATTCTAAGTCAAGTTTGCGAATGTTAGGGCTCGTGCCTATCTCCACTGGTAAGACCACTGACCCCTCCGTCTCCACTGAATCACCCGTAAATCCAGAGAGTGGGTACGTACTTCTTTGAGCTGGTTCCTAAGTATCCCTAACTTGGTGAAGGCATCGTAATACATCACATTGACTGAGCTTCCCGTGTCGACTAAGATGCGGCGGACAATGACATCGTTGACGTCCATCTCAATTACCAGGGCGTCACGATGGGGTAACGGGCCCTCTGGGAGGTCATCATCAGAGAAGGTGATGGCCTCCTGTCTCTGTTTTTTTTCTCTGGGAAGACTCGCCACTTCTCCCACGTATAGCCGCCGGCTCCACTTCTTTCTTTCCGCGGGCGTGTCGCCCCCTGCAGGTCCACCATAGATAAAGTGTATGGTGTGTTTCTTTTGTCGTCTAGGCGCCACCTCGGTTTCTTTCTCGCTATCACTCTGCTCAGATATTTGGTCGTGTTCTCTTTTTTTCAAGGTGGACGGCTCGGTGACATCCTCATTTCTCCAGACATTTTTTGGTGGATTTTTTGATGGATCGCGCTGCGGCTGTTGCTGCTGTTGCTGCTTGGATCGCTTGAAAAAAATGCCGGAAGTAGCCCTGATGGATGAGTTCTTCTATTTGTCTCTTCAAAATGTGACACTCATCTGTATCGTGGCCGGCTTGACTATGAAACCTGCAGTACTTTGTTTGGTCTGCCTTTGGGGAGACTTTCATGCACTCCTCGGGGAATTCTACCATTCCCATCTCCTCAGCTTGCTGTAGAATGACACTGACGGTATGGGTAAGAGGAGTTAGATTACGCAAGGGGACCAGGCGAGGTCGTTCGTGGTCTCGGCCTTTCCCTGCTGTCGGGTGGTTCGAGGGTGGTGCCTGGCTGGGCGGACCCGCTTTCCCAGGCTTCCCACCTTTCCTTCCATCCTCTTCGTCCTTCTTCTTTTTGTCGACGTCCTCTGCTTCGGCATAGCGGCTAGCCGTCCTTATCAGATCTTTGTAAGAGCGGGGGTGGTGGGTGTTCAACTGCTTGTGTAAATACCCTGATCTTAAGGCATGGATAAATATCCGGATCACCGCCTTGGAGTCGAAGTCGTAGACATTATTGACTTCCTTTTTCCATTTTATCAGGAAGTCTTTGAGGCTCTCGCCTCTATCTTGCTTCACTACACAGAGGTGAGAGAAAGGTTTCTTACGTTGTATGCTACCGAAGAAGTATGTCAGGAAGCTCTTGGACAACTCCCCAAAGTTTTGGATCGACCCATCAGGGATGGTGTTGAACCAGTCTTGGGCCGCTCCATCCAGGGTGGACAAGAACGCTCGGCACATGATGGCATCCCCTGCCCCGATCATTACCATAGCAGCCTTGTACCTCGTCATGTGGACGCGTGGGTCAGTGACCCCCGTGTACTCCTTGATGGCGGGCAACCTAAAGTCCCTCGGCAAAGGTATGTCCATGATGCTTGGGGAGAATGGTGCTGCCATCCGTAACTCGGGTTCCGGCGACTGCTCCCGTGCCCCCACCCTTCTTGCTAACTCCTCGATTCTTCTCTGCAGCCTCTCGACCAGGGCCGACTCATCAGGGTGCCGGCGCGGGGCCGGCTACCGCTCCTCCAAGTTTCGGTGTGGGACCCGCTCATCAACGCGTCGCTTCCCCGCCGAGTGCCGTCGCAGAGCCGGCTCTTCGACGCGTCGCTCCTCCAAGTGTCGACGTAAGGCCGACTCATCAACGTGTTGGCGTGGGGTCGGCTCCCGAGACTCGCCCACCTCCTCTGTGGGTGATCTCTCGGCTTCTCTGTTTTCGTGTTGGCGAGGACCTCTGGTAGAGGATCCCTCGGCCCGTGATCCTAATCTTTGCCGCACGGGCGCCCTTTATCCCAATCGTTCTGGTGCAGATTGGGAAGGGCCTGGTTGTCGTCTGGCCGGTCCACTTCTTTGGGTCTCCACCCTTATTTCCTGGGGCCGCGGCGGGGGCACTTGGCCTTGTAGTCCCACCGCCACTTGGTTTAGTGCCGCCGCCACCGCTTGCTGGATGGTCGCCTGGAGGTTCACGACTTGGTTCGCCCCTCCATTGTGGAGCTGGTCTCGAAGGTTTCCTCCATTGTTGAGTTGGTCTCGAAGGTTTCCTCCATTGTTGAGTTGGTCTCGAAGGTCCCCGGGCCTCCCGTTGTTGAGCTGTTCTCGGAGGTCCCCTGAGGCATTGCCATTGTTCGCGTTGCGGGAACCGTGGGAGCTGCGGGACACCATTCTTTCAAGCTTTCTTGTTGAAAGAGGAATGAGCTGTGTGTGTCGTAGCCTGCTTGAGTATTGGACTCAGGCTCTCAATGAAAGCACCAATGACGGTAAAAATGTTACCGGTAATAATAATATTATAATAACGCTATGTGAGAGAGTAACAATAGTGGTATTACCCTTTTGTCTCAGTATGGAAAATACCGTCCCCTGCTCAGCTGAGGGAAGTTCTATTTATGCTAGGTCCTAACGGTAACAACATGAAGAGACATCCTTGGGGAGCTGAGCTAACGGCAAGAATATGAGAGTCATGAATGAGGCGTTGAGGCTTTAACTCTCTCTCATCAATGGTGGCATCAAAGGCGGCTTCAATGACAATAAAGGTGACACCTGTTAGATTCTAACCGTTGGAGTTCTGCCCGTTGGGTTCCCATGTGATGCTGAGTCAGATGCTCATTTGTGATCCGGGTCGGGTGCCAGCCCTATTATCCTGTCATATATATATATATATATATATATATATATATATATATATATATTATATTTATTTATATTTCAATTTCTACTGGCAAATTATTGTGAGGAACGATGGTCCGCATAATTGTATGGATCATGAATATTAAATACATTTTTAATATATTAAAAATACATTATTTTTATATTGAAAGTACCTTACACACATATATAATGTACCCTTAGTATATTTAAAATATACTTTTTTATTGCATGCAACCCCAAAGTTCATAAGTTTGAAATTAATATATGGCATAGCTAGGCGGCCTAATATTTAAGATTGTTGATGTGCATATTGAGAACTACGGAGACAAATATGCGTTATTCGTGGATTCATCGGATACTATCCAATAACACTCTCCAACTTAATTGACGTGAAGTGGCTTAGTAACATTAAGATTATATTCTCGAATTATTAGTTCTCATCTTTTATTGATTACACACTTAATTCGATAGTATTTGGAAGAAAAAATCAATGTTCGAACTAAGATTGTGATTTTGGTCTTTAAAGGTCAATTGTATGTTGCTACATCTAGAGTTAGAAATCTCAAAGGTCTAAAAATTTTGATCCGTGGTGACTCTAAAATTGTAATTCAATTACTATTGTAGTTTACTAAGTTCTTAAAAATTTGTAATAGTAAATACTATGTACTAAATTTTTAATATAGTTTAAGATTTGTAGTAATCACCCACCTTAAATATTATTTTAATTGTAAATATATTTATGTTCATAATTTTATCATAGGAATTCACACATAATAATTATTAAATAACAAAAATTTTATATATGAATAAACCTCATATAGGGTATATTTTTATAACATATTTTCCGTGCATCGCACGGGACAAATACTAGTATTATAAATATATAAGTTATATATATTGATATAGTATGATACATGAGTTATAGTAAAATGATACTTTAAAAAATTGATGTATAAGTATGATACAAAAGACTTATTAATTAAAAAATTGTTTATGTAAAAAGTATGTAATTGGATACAATAGTATTCTTTTTTATGTATGTGGGGTAATTAAATTAAAATTTGAGTTTTGAAATGATTAATTAGTAAAAGGAATAATGTTTAGTAGTAGTTTTTTTTTTTTTTTGGGAAAAGTGTCAAATTTGGCACCCTAAGTCGATCGGATAGTGCAATTGGGTCCCCTAACTAAAAAAAGCTTCATTCAGACCCCCTAAATCTGTAAAATTGTTCAATTAAGTCCAAAGTAACTTGTTTAACAGGTTAAATCTTCACATTGTTGACACGTATCATTTTAAAATATTTTTTATTTTTGTGTTTTTTAATTTTATTTATTTATTTATCAAAATATATATTATATATAAAAAAAATTAAATTAAATTAAAAAATTAAAAAACAAAAAAAAAAACAAAAAAACACAGCCACCTAAACAGCTTTGTGCGTTTTCAAAAAAAAAAAAAAACAGCTTTGTATTTTTTCTTGTTTTTGTTTTTTTTAATTTTATTTTTTATATATAATATATATTTTAATAAATAAAAATTTTACAAAAATATATATTTTAAAATGACATGTGTCAACAATGTGAAGACTTAACCTGTTAAACAAGTCACTTTGGACTTAATTGAACAATTTTACAGGTTTAGGGGATCCGAAAAAAGCTTTTTTTAGTTAGGGGACCCAATTGCACTATCCGGTCAACTTAGGGGGCCAATTTGACACTTTTCCCTTTTTTTTTTTTTTTTTTTTTGAAGGGAATGTTTAGTAATAGTTGAATAAAAGAAAATTAAAATTATAAATTATTAAAATTTATTTGTCCCCTCAAAAAAAAAAAATTATTTGTAAACCACACTAGTTGTTGAAGTACAAATCTTTTCTAACTCACTACAAATTAAACTTTTGAGGCCATAGAGATTACAAACTCTTGATGCAGCAACATACAATTAATCGTGTACAAATACTGGTTTTTTCAGTAACAATCCTATATGGGATAGTGTTTGTCCTTAACTTTTATTGATATTCATTGCATATGAAAGTATTAACGGGAATTGTTTTCTATTGAACTTTAACGGCAATCTTGGATCTAAAGGAGTCATAGTCATTCGAGAAACCAATTAACACCCTAGTACCTACATGGTTACCTGACCTAATTTTGGCTTCTATAACATGTGTTTGACAATCTGGTAACTACCAACCTATGTGCATAAACCAAGTGAGTGATCTATATTCCTCAACAACATCACAAGTGAGCCAACCTTTAGGGGACGTTTGGTTCAAATTATATAAGATAACCAAGGTTATATTGCTTGGTAATATAAGATTCTCATGTTTGGTTCAAGTTATGTAACTTTCCCAGGAAATGTCAGATAACCTCCGCATTAAGTTTTTAGCTATTGAAAGAGAATGTGAGATACCCTCTAATTTCTTAGGTAACCTCACATCCCCTTGTCTTATTAATAATGTTAGGCTTTGGACGTTTTAATCAATTTATCTTATTACAGTTGTCTTATTTACATATTTTAGTTTTAAACCAAACACAGTAATCTAACATTCCAGTAATCTAACATTCCCAGCAATCTAACATTCTCTAAGGTAATCTAACATTTCGTGAACCAAACGCCCCCATGTTAATATGTGATTAGGTATGTCAGATGCTCGCAGTCCATTTAGGAACTCAATTGTGTGCACGTTTGTGAGTAGTACGTCCATGATTTGATTAAGATCTACATACAGTATCGTAACTCAAGTATATCCTGTTTCCACTATATGCATGTTACTCATGTAGTCATTAATTGAATTAACAACATGAAGTGTTGGTGCCAAAATTGCCCGACTTTCCAGAAAATTGTTATCACAATCTCCATTCTTAAACATCATAAATGTACTTTCCATGATTGTGGAAATCGGGTCACTAGTTGAGGGCAACAACATCTCTTGAGGAATATCAACCTCTGCACAATCATCATTTGAACATCCAAATGTTCCATCATCGATCAAATCAATCCAATTTGTAAACTCTTCCACTTGTTGCATTTCTAGACCAGGTTCCATATTATTTAAACGAAGATTCTTTGTCAATCTTAAAACTCTACAACATTCCAAATATAAGAGGAATTTATAGTTGCATAAATGATATCTTGCCTTGTACATTTTGGAATCACAGGTAATATCTGCCTAAAATCACCACCCAAAACCACTATTTTGCCACCAAATGTATTAGTCGCACTTGAAGGATTAACAAACCGGAATAAATCTCTCATTGTTTTGTCCAACGCTTCAAAGTAGTGTTTGTGCATCATTGGAGCTTTATCCCAAATTATTAACTTTGTCTATGATCTTCACAGTTAACTCAACAAGGTCACTCCCTGGTTTAATATTACATGTCGAGTCTTCATTTATAGATATGGGTATTGCAAACCTTGAATGTGTAGTTCTGCCTCATGGTAGAAGCAGAGAAGATATACCACTTGATACAACATTGATAACAATATCACTTTTAGACCACAATGTCGCAAATAAAACCCTCTTTAGAAATGTCTTGCGTGCTCCACCGTAACCGTACACAAAAACAAACCACCATCATTCGATGAAACATCTCCAATTAGTGTATCATATACAACTCTTTATTCATCAGTTAATTTCTTCATCAAGTTATCACTCTCTTCAACAAGTGATTCACGATCATATGATAACACTTCAAACAACAATCGATTTATATTTAATTGTGAAGAATCTAAATTTGGAATTGGCATTGGATGAAAGTATTTCAAAGACTTATTGTATAGTTGTAGGTAACAACTTGTCCAATTCCAGCAGAGCTAAAATTTTCTTCTCATCATTTGTTAAGATCAGATCTCCAAAAAAATGAAAAATAAATATAATAAGTAACTGATAAAATGAGAATTAACTTTTATAAAGGAAACTATAGGATATGATTACAAATTAACAATACACAAAACTTGATTTTAATAGTAGTATACGCTGATTGATTTGTGCATCTTCGGCAAGACAATATCACACATCATTTTAAACATTTTCTGGCCTATTCAAAGAATTTGATGTCAACAATGTGACAAAATTTTCTCATGGAATGAGCGGGTTACCAATGGCTTGCCTCTTTGAGGGCATCAATGTATTCTTTATCATCATCTAATAATCCCCGTGCATAACATACATCTCTAAAAGACATATACTCTATCCCAAGAAATGTCCGAATGTCTTTAAAACTTGTATGGCCATGAACTATATTAAGAAGGCATCTCAAGTAATATAATTCACCACTGCCCAACGGTACATAGAAGATACGACCAATTGAAAATCCCTTTTTCCTTGGATGTCATTCCCGAATGCTCTTCTTCCAAACAAACTTATTTGGTATCTCAATATAAGTTAATAGTCTTGTGTCTGCATATCTCTTGTTGGCTTCAAACCATCAATTGAACATTCTTTGACCAATAGTATGTCGATTTAGCACATTGTCGACTCTATCATGATCTTCCGAAATAAACAGATTGACAATTTAGGAGATGAAAGTTTAGTCTCTCAACCGCTGGTGTTCTGAATTACACATCAAAACTAAAAAACACCACATAGCCTCACACGAAGAGATATAGCGACAATCGTAGTACATATTTATCTCATCTATGACTTCATTACCATATTCGTTAGTTGTACTTTTATAAAATTCAGCGGTGACTCGATCATTGCCTTTATTAACATACTTGAATAATTAAGTATTTGATAGATCTTGATTGATTGCACCGTTCCACGTTCATCCGTGCCCTATATTTTAGAAGCAAATACCTATTGTGTGGTACCACATATCTGTTATCCAACTGAATTCCATTATTACTTACAATCATGCCATCATCATGACGCCTATAGATTGAGTAACCATCTTCATCAAAATTGGAAGAGTAAACAAACTTTTTTGAGAAATACTTTGAACATCTACCATTTATCATGCAAGGGGACTGTTTCCTAGCAACTCCACAAGGACCATGAACCATGAATTTCTCAACTATGTTGTAGTATTGTCGGTCATCTTCTTTATTAGGGATCTCTGCTAATAATTTGTACTATTATTATAGGGAGTAATAGTTTACTTATAAAGGTCACACTTGTGTGAGAACCATTGAGACGGGTCGTGTCAACATGCAAATGTAATACTTATACTAGTAAATGTAATACTAATTAGGATAAAATGTTTGTTATTTATAAGGGAAACGTAATACTTTAGATGACAAATGTAATACTTTTACATTTTGATGTAAAAGTATTACATTTATTTTATTTATCAAAAGTATTATATTTTCCCTTATAAATAACAAACATTTTATTCATAATTAGTATTAGTATTATATTTGCTAATATAAGTATTACATATAAGGAAAAATATAATACTTTTGATTTTTTTTTTTAAAAAGTAATACTTTTACATCAACATGTAAAGTCTTGCATTTTCCTTCAAAAGTATTGTATTTTCCATGCATGTAAGTATAAACATTTGGTTAATGATTTAGTATTACATTTGTTAGTACATATATATATATATATATATATATATATATATATATATATATATATATATATATATATATCATTGTTTAGGATTTTTATACATTGGGCAAATGTACTCGTTATCTATCAAGTTAGTTATAGTAATCAATTGTTATCTTAATTCATTTGTATAGAGGATATATTTTTGTCTAGATATATAGCAATTTTGTCATTTTGAAAATAATAATAATAATAATAATAATAATAATAATAATAATAATAATAATAATAATAATAATAATAATAAATATCATCGATTGTATTTGCACATTATTGAAAACCTCTTTGTAAACGACAGTGGTAGTCGCAACACAATTTTATCCATCCTCGTCTAGAGCTAACACCTTCAGGCCATCAAGATGGTGACTCAGGAGAAAGGTACGTACAATTGTCCGTGATTAAAGACTGATTTTTTTTAGCAATAACCCAACGTGAGTTAGTGTTTGATCTTGGCTTTTGTTGATAGTCATGGCATATGCAAGTATCAACGGGAATTGTTTACGCTGGAACTTGATGGGCAATCTCGTATCAGAAGGAGTGAGAGACATTCGATGGATAAGAACGTTGGTTCCTTCATGTGTCCCGTTAACTATTTTTGCTCTGTTCATTCATCGTAAACATTCTTTTGCTCGTCGGTCAATTGTGTTACCAATGTTTCATGCTCTATCTTCAACTTGTCATGCGCCAACACTTCGACTATCAACATGTTTTCACTCAAATCCTTGCAAATAATTGCCCAATTATCCACGCGATGCACAAATAATTTTTTTTTTTATTATATATTAGACAATAAAATTAAAGATGAAATTATAAACAATTCTAATATTTAAAAATGTACATTTGTTTGATTATAAGATTAGTGCAAAAGTATCACTCAATTAATTGAATAATATATTACTCATTTTTCTGCAATCATCTTAAAAAATCGATATATAATATAATTTATGTAATTATATTATTACTAAAATAAATAGGAGAAGAAAGGATAAATAATTTAATTGTAATTATTATAAAAATAAATCCAACGATCCATGTTTAGCTTAATTACCATAATAATTATTAGTCAATTGGTAATACCAGATTCATTTTTAGCCAATTATTCTTTTTTTATTTTCAGACAATTAGTCCATTAGAATATCAAATGCAGTGATATTTTTACCTAATTTTCGTTCCATTTTTAATTGATGATGTAGAATATTATTATTGAAATATTTTCGCCTAATTTTTAATTTTCATTCCATTTTTAATTAAAATGCAATGATCTGGTCATTTCTTTTTTCATTTTAGTTAATTATGGATCATTTTTTTTTATTTTCAGTCAATTATTAATATACATTTTCTTTTATATTTTCAGTCAATTAGTAATATCATATTCATTTTCATCCAATTTTTTTTTCAGTCAATTAGCTAATTAGAATATCATATGTATTGATATTTTTACCAAATTTCTGATCCATTTTTAATTGGTTATGTATAATATTATTATTGAAATATTTGATGTTCCATTTTTAACTTTCGTTCCATTTTTAATTTACCTTTACTATTGTTTAAAATATGCCTTTACTATTGATGATGTATAATATTATTATTAAAATATTTCCTTTCCATTTTTAATTTACCTTTACATGATGATGTAGAACATTATTGTTGAAATATTTCCTTTCCATTTTTAATTTACCTTTCACATTTTTCATTAAGTTAAAGTTCAAGATTTTGTTTTTATATATAGTATAAATTAGAATAATAATTATATTACACTATTTTATAATATTATAATAGAAATTTTAATCTAGAATTATAGTACGAATAGGAAAATAGAAAACAATGTATTTTTATTAGAAAGAGAGATTTTCTAGAAATTGGGCAGGAATTTAAAGTTCAGGATTATATTTTGTTAGAAAACAATATATTTTATTAGAAAGAAAGATTTTTTGAGAATTTATCGGGAAGTTAAAGTTCAGGATTTTGTTTTTATATATAGTATAGATTAAAATAGAAATTGTATTACACTATTTTATAATATTAGAATGGAAATTTTAACATAGAATTATAGTACGAATAGGAAAATAGAAAATAATGTATTTTTATTAGAAAGAGAGATTTTCTAGGAAATTGGGTGAGAATTTAAAGTTCAGGATTTTGTTTTTATATATAGTATAGATTAGAATAGGAATTGTATTACACTATTTTATAATACAAGAATAAAAATTTTAACGTAGAATTATAGTACGAATATGAAAGTAGAAAACAATATATTTTTATTAGAAAGAGAGATTTTTTAGGAATTGGGCGAGAATTTAAAATTCAGGATTTTGTTTTTATATATAGTATAGAAGTATAGATATAGATTAGAATAAAAATTATATTACACTATTTTATAATATTATAATAGGAATTTTAACATAAAATTATAGTACGAATATGAAAGTAGAAAACAATATATTTTATTAGAAAAATAGATTTTTTACGAATTTGCCGGGAAGTTAAAGTTCAAGATATATATATATATATATATATATATATATATATATATATATATATATATATATATATATATAAAATAGATTAGATTAGGAATTGTATTACACTATTTTATAATATTAGAATAGGAATTTTAACCTGCATGTGCAGCTCAACTGGTCACAGAGGTGAAATTTTGGAAGAATGACCAGTGATCGAGTCTCACTAGCGGCAGTGTGGGAGCAACTTCTTAAAGTGAGGGGGGTTTGTTGAGTGAGTT